AATTTCTGAATTTCTGATTTTCTCAATTTCTGATTTTCTCAATTTCTGAATTTCTGATTTTCTGATTTTCTGAATTACTGAATTTCTGAATTTCTGATTTTCTCAATTTCTGATTTTCTCAATTTCTGAATTTCTGAATTTCTGAATTACTAAATTTCTGAATTTCTGATTTTCTGAATTTCTGATTTTCTCAATTTCTGAATTTCTGAGTGTCTGAATTTCTGAATTTCTGAATTTCTGAATTTCTGAATTTCTGAATTTCTGAATTTCTGAATTTCTGAATCTCGATCCCATATCTCCCATATCCCTTGAACTATAAATCAAGCCAAAATTCAATTTCCGTCTATTTTCCCATGAAATGCCCCTACAGATTCCCATCAAAAGACACCGTCCTTTTCCTTTTGTCCCCTCTTTTTTCCAAAATTTCCCTTTCATATTATTTTCATGGAAAGAGGACATATAGGCATGACATTACATCATCCATAGAAACCTTTTTGTTTTCTCGAGACAGTGAGAGAGAGAGAGAGAGAGAGAGAGAGAGACTGAGAAAAGGTAGAAGAAGAACGTTTATTTCAGTCAAAAGATGTAATAATTACACCCCATTATGTTTGACACCACCAAACTACCCGAAATTGGCATCATGAGAAATTTAAAAAATTTGCCCAAAACGAGTTCAGCCATAGTTTCTTCTAGAATCAATATTTTTCAATCATCTAAATTAGATATTATAGAGGAACTCAAAAGCTACAAAACGATATCATTTGGATTACTGTATCTGGTCTATGAACAAAGTTACAGGCCATAAAACCAATCCTGCAACATTAGGAACCCTTATCATTTACCCAATTTATCTCAGTTCCTATAAGAGATATCAAAAAGTAATCAATAACAAAATGTTTATCAAATAATCAAAAACGTTTTACTAGTTGGCCACTTTTTGATATCTCTAACAAAAAGCGAGATAAATTGGGTCAAAGTTAACAGATATTTTTCCCTATTGTATCGTGGTGTAGGCGGTTAAGGCTTCCACTGTCGTCTACATAGTCACAGGTTCGAACCCACACCCCCTCAAAAAATGATTTTCCTCAACACTACAAACTACAAAAGTACCGGGTCATCTTATCTCTTTACACCTCGAGTTTGCCAACTGACTCCTCGAGAGAAAAAAGGGTCCAAAGTGTGTTTGTGTTTCTCGACCCGGCATGACATCATATTACAATCAGAGAGTCAAAATATTCACGTGAGAGGTTGATGGCAAAAAAAACACTTTGTTTCTCTGCGCCTCTCTCTCTCTCTTTCTGGATCGATTCAAATTTATGTTTAGCTTCTGCTGTTCGTGATGAATATATATAAGGAACAGATGGACCAAATGCAAACAAACGACTTGACCATAAAAACGAGAGACTAGACCCTTAGGGGACGCATAATTTATACATAAGCAAAAAATGTAATTTTTCTGACAGGGTGTCGCAGCAATCCGACTTATAACTCGACTCAAAGTTAGAATTTCGGTACGAATCAAAAATGAAAATGTAGCACTTGGAAAGATCTACATTTTGATATTAAATTCAGCTATGTTGGATCATGATGGGACTAGAATTTGAAGCCGTGAAACAGACGTATAGATCTGGTTTGTCGTCAGGGGCGTCTAGCGCCGACTCGGCTCAGAGTTGGAATTTCGGTATGAACCAAAAAGAAAAATGTAGGAGTTAAAAAAACCTACATGATACTACATTTGATTATATCAGAATCATGGGTCCTAATCATAAGGCCGTGAAACAGGCATCCCGGTTAGGTTCGCCATCAGCGCCGACCAGCTCAGACCAGCGGGGATGTAACTCGGCTCAAAATTGGAATTTTTAATTTAATTAAATAGTAAAGTATAGATCTTGAAAAGATCTACAAAATGATGAAAAAACTGGCCGTATTGGAATAATAAGTACTATTGAAATTGTCATTAGGGCCGACCAGCCCGGAAAACGGGCTGTATCTTGGCTCAAAATTTTTGTTTAAATTAAAAATGAAAATGTATGACTTAAAAAGATCTATAGAATGATGAAAAAAAACTATATTGGAATACCGAATCTCGAGCATGAGGCTATGAAACAAAGGGACCAAAAAAGTTGGCTTGGATAGCACCGTCTCCTTAGGAGCCTCTGGTCCAAAACTTGCTATTTTAATATAACCCAAATTTATATCATTCTGTAGATCTCATTGCATTCTACAAAATTATATAAAATTCTCTTATGTTTAAATGTCAGGTTTCAAACCTGTGACCTTGAAAAACAAAAGGGTCAGCAAAACGACTCGCATAGCACCGACTTCTTAGGAGCTTCTGCTGTCGAAACTTGGCGTTCTAATATTTAGGAATTATATATCTTTTTGTAGATATCTTCAAGCTCTACATTATGAAACTTGTTTGATACAGAAATTCCAATTTTGAGCCAAGTTATGCGACTTTAAAACTCGTGGTGATTTCAAAGTGATTTTTGATCGAGGAAGTGCAATTTTCGATTCAATTCCTGGAGTAGTACACATTTGAGCTGCTGATAAGACGGTGTATGATAAGAAAATGGTTTTTTTTGATTCCCGATTCTTTTATTATTTTTCTTATAACTGAGAATTAGAGAAGCAGAAATTAAAAAGGCAAAAGTGGCACTCGATGAGAAATGAGAAAGAGAAAGAGATTTTGAAAGAGTTGTCGGGATTCGATTTCTTTTTTTTTGGGACGGGAAGATTTTCTTTTTGAATTTACAAAAAAAAACAAAAATTACATAGAAGGTACAAAAGTGGATAAGAATGTGTGTGTGTGTGTGTGTGTGTGTGTGTGTGTGTGTGTGTGTGTGTGTGTGTGTGTGTGTGTGTGTGTGTGTGTGTGTGTGTGTGTGTGTGTGTGTGTGTGTGTGTGTGTG